TTTTCCTAGTGAGAAAATATTCAAGAGTAGCAAGAGTAGTACTATAGACTTTCCTACTCTGATTGAATAAAAGCAAAACTCCTGTCTTTTCTGAATATCTCTTGAGGATTTTTTACACATAAACCTCCCAGAAAGATTACTGTAGGAGAAATCGATATTAATTAAAACTAAAGAAAAAAATTGTGTTCCTTTAAGCGAAAATAATTAGGAAATTTCAGAGAAGCATCTACTCTCTCCCCTTCATACATCCTTGAAGTGGTAATTTTTATACCGTTTTTGTTGCCCAGGGTTATGATAAAATGAGTATGATGAGTATGGTGGAACTTTATGATTTTTTATAGTTCTGGTTAAGGTATACAGTGGAGGACACTCAGATATAGACTATGCAGATCCACATTTGGATCTAGGACTGTGGTTAAAGAATCTGTGAACACACAATTTTCAAAAACCATCTTCTCCAGTGAGTGCTTGTCATGAAGGAGATCCACGTGACACCTGGATTCCTTTCCTGACACCGTCACAGAATATTTAACATTAGCTTAAAATAAAATAATAAAAATATCAGGAAATATGTAAAGGGAAAAAGATCCACAGAGTTTAAAATGTGCAAGAGAGGGCGTGAGTAGAACAAAGGGTGGGATTAGGTAAACAAACGGTGATCTCTGAGAGAGCAGCTAAGCAGTACTAAGCAGTTGGGAGCATGTTCTTTTTAAAATAATCCTTCATTTAAAATAAAAGTAGTTATTCAGTACACAGTGAATTATCTGAACTTTATAACAAAGCAATACTCCCTCCTGTAAGGAGCGGCTTCACGCAGGAGGATGTGGTCTCTCTCTCTGTTTCCCACTGTTAGGAGCGACTTCATGCAAGACAAGTTTCCAGCGTTTGCTTCTTCCTTAGTTTCCTGATAGAATCTCATCAGTCATTTATTTGTTTCCACGTCTTTTTACTGACCGAATACCAGATTTGTAGAGGTGGTAGGCAATTATCAGTTTCAGCGGCCTTTTTCTGGCCTCATTGAACAATTGATATCAATTTACACTTTTTGACAAATCAGTGCAAATTACTGGAATGTAAAGAACTGTGTTTAAAGTCTTGGCACAAATGAAAAATGCATTTTCTCCTTTAGTGTGAGAAAATCAGTTGTTGAACAAAAACAATGTTAAGAATTTCCTCACTAATGTTTATTAATACCATAATCCAGTTTTTTAAAAGAAGGGCTCTGAGGGATTGTTTTAACATTCGCATTAATTTTTAAGGAAAAAAAAAAGACCAGTCCTTTAAAAAAATTGCTAAAGAGTAATATGCTTGTCTCATAAATTTTATGGAAAATGGAAATCTTAAATCATAACAACACTAAAATGTAAAGAAACAGGTTTTTTTTTAATGAAAACAGTGTGTGGCTCTGTGACCTTGGCTCAAGCACAGTGGATAGCAAGATGATAGCTCACTGTAGCCTCAAATTCCTGGGCTCAAGCAATCCTCCTGCCTCAACCTCCTGAGTAGCTGGGGCTATGGGCATACACTGCTATGCCCAGCTCATTGTTTTTATTTTATTGAAGAAAAAGTAATTGTCTATTCTTGAAAGTGCTAACTACTCTTTTTCTAAAAATTAGAGCAATTTATTACTTCTCATGATGCCATTGCTTCTTTTACAACATTGTAGATAAGATTTGCCTACTAAGATTCTGGAAATAGTAGTTTTTGATAAATTTTGACTTAAGCATTTATTTTTGATCAGCTGTTTCTGGCATCTTTCATATATTCCAGGAAACCCGAGGTCATATCAACAATGGGTGCACACAGTCAAGGTAATACTAAGCCTTCAGAGCTGCTTCTTTCTTCTAATGCGAACTGTTCAGTAAAAGTGTGCTGTCTATACTTAGGCCATTTCATTCGTAATATTTGAAATGTTTGTTGTGTCATATTTAAAATATTTTCATTTTATGGTTTTTTGGTATTCACAAAGGTAATTTTAAATTAGGAACTTTTTGTCCAGAGATAA